GTTTCCGCTTATGTCTTTGCTACTTCATGTGTGCAATGATAGCACATCGATCAGCAGCTTACATCTCGTAAAGACTTCCATTCACTCTAGTATGAATTTGCCAGCACTAAGTGATTACGTACGCTTCAAATTTTTGAATATTTTTGATAGATAGGAGTAGGAACACCTTACTCATGTGTTAAGTTTTTCAGAAAAGGAGAAATCAACACCACCACCAAAACTGAAATTACCACCGCCACCAGAACCGTGCAAAAATGGAAAATGCCCCATCCCACTTAGGTGCATTGAAGGTGTTTGCGTTAACGGCAACCTTTGCATAAAAGACATGTACTGTGATCCGCGATTCGTATGCAAGGAGTACAGGTGTGTCCCTAAGCCAAAGTGGAGGGCTGAAAAGAAGCTGCTAATGTGCAAAAAGGGCGATTGCGAACCACCTACCGCCTGCGTGGACAACTTTTGTCTGATAAATATGCCTTGTAGAACCGACTATGACTGTGGTGATTCACAGCTCAAATGTATTCAGTCAATCTGCGCTGTTCCTAAAAGCACGCCTGCTCCCTTGCCTCAGACGTTGGGATCACCAGGGTACACTTCTTTTGGGATTCCCTGCCAAAATGGTGTCTGCAAACCACCATTGTCTTGCATTGACAACTTCTGTGTTCGCGGTACACCTTGTACAGTTGGTGTAGAATGCAACGGCTATCCACGATTTGAATGCAAGCAACAGAATTGCGTTCCCAAGCTTCAGTGGAGGCCGAATAACTCCCTGATAATGTGTAAAGACGCTATCTGCCCTGCTTCAACTATCTGTATAAACAATTTTTGTTTACGAAATTTGCGTTGCCAGAATGATCACGACTGTGGCAGTCCTCTACTCAAATGTGTGCAATCAATTTGCGAAGATAGAGAACAATTTTCGCCTACACTGCCTCAGCATTCAAATCCGGAGATGCCGCGTCCTCTAACTGGCAGTAGATCAGCAGTTCTCGGCGAAAGTTTTCCCGGAATGCCCTGCCAAAATGGTGTCTGCACTTCTCCATATGTCTGCATCAATGACATCTGTATACGCGGCGTGCTTTGCACAACTAATTATGATTGCAGGGATTCCCGGTTTGATTGTATTCAACGAAACTGCATCCCTGGTTCTAAATGGAGACCGGATAATGTTTTGCTGATGTGCTCGAACAATCTTTGCCCTCCATCATCTACGTGCGTGAACAATTTTTGCGTAAATTTGATGTGTCGCAATGATTACGATTGTGGAAGTCCACAAATGAGATGCATACAGTCAGCCTGTATCGTACTCTCTGGATCGGAATCGCAGTCACCAACAGCATCGATTGTGAATCCAAACTTTCAACTACTTTTACCCAATCACCAGAGAGAGACTATACCGCCAACACAGCTTCGGTCAATAGGCGACTGCATGGACGGTTATTGTCCTGAACCCTACGTCTGCATAGCTGGCTCTTGTGTGACCGGTCAGCGTTGCCGAGTCGATTCCGATTGTGGTTACTACTCTGGTGTTAAATGCTTAAAAAGTTTGTGCATTCAAGTTAGTCTTGCAATTATGCAACCACCAATGGTTATAGGATCCCAGAGCTAATTTTCAAGTGTTTCTCATTGTTCGACTATGAGCACTCACGAATAAATGAAATTTGATGTCACAGTGTCATATACATCTTTCCCAAAATGAGCACGATGAGATTCGTTTCATAGTTCTCTCCAAGCATGTGTTCGTCTATTCAAAAGAGGAACCAACTTGATTGAGATCATAGTGAGTGTCCGAATGCATTAGCAAAAGTACTGAATTTTCAGGGATAGTACTCAACGTAAGTGCGGCAGTTCATTCATGTTTCCCTGTTCATTTCAGTGTCAACATTGAGGAGAAGGTCGTTGCTCCTGTCAACAATCATAACATTTATTCAGAAAAACTTTCAAAAACGACTACGTTTATCCAGCTATGTTAGGGAAATGTGGAATATTGTCTGCTTCGGTTGTTTATAATCTTGGCATCGATGATTGATAATCGCTTGAGCTCACTGAGCGTAGACCAAGATGATAGCCACACTTGATAGCCACACGACCAATGTTTCCGCGAGATCGCCGCCAGAGCGTAGAAATTCGAAAACATAAATAAAACATTTCTTAGGCTGAGTTCATACTGATCCGTAAGTTTGGGAACAGTTCTAGCACA